GACTGGTGAATGCCCTTGTAATCTCAATATGTCTATACGGGGCAGAGACTTGGACTCTTCGCGAACGCGAGCGCCAAAAATTGATACCTTTGTAATGTGTTGCTGAAAAAGAATGCTGCGCATACTTTGAACAGCTCATAGGGCAAACGTGTCCATTCTAAACCAACTTACGATTAAAAAAGGCTGTCCACAAAATATTTGAATTCGCATCTGACTGTCACATGGTTCGCAGAGATGACAATAGTTTGGAGAAATTGTTTCTGGAAACGTTCCGAGGAGAAGATGAAGAGAACGATCACCAACTAGATGGTCCTACCAAATTAAGAATTTAGCTGGAAACTCATTCTGCGAAGTTCTTAAAGCAGCTGAAAATAGAGTAATAGAGGAATATTCGAAGAAATCACGATCTTCAGTAATGGGGAAAACGACAAGAGAGAGAGAGAGAACTAATCTTAAGAAAATCGTGTGTAATTATGACATAAAATATTTAGCTTTACCAAAGATAGGCCTACACTGGAAAATCATCACTAGACATACGATGAAAATGAAGAATCCATACAAAGTGGCTACATGAAATGTAACAACCTTATATGAAGCCGGTAAGTTGAGAAATCTACTCTCTGAAATGGACAGATTAAACATTACTATCATGGGGGCGAGTGAAACAAGATGGCCAAACAAATGGAATTTCAGTGCAAATGGTTACGCCGTTTATTTTTCTGGAAATCAAGACCATATGCATCGAAATGGAGTAGCAATAATTATCAAACAGTATATATTAATAAGTATGTCACTAACTTCATCCCAATATCAGACAGAGTAATTTTAATACAGCTGAATGCTAAACCTGTAAATATAAATATCATCCAAGTTTATGCTCCCACTGCTGACGCAGATGAGCAGAATATTGAAGAATTCTACCATCAAATAGAAGTGCTAAAAATAACAAAGAAACACGAAGCAATAATAATTATGGGTGACTTTAACGCTAAAGTTGGACAGAAGATGACGCAGGGCATCACCGGAAAGCTTGGCTTGGGAGAGAGAAATCAAAGAGGTGAACGGCTAATATAATTCTGCCAAGAAAATGACTTCGCCATTACATATACCTGGTTTCAACTTCCAGAAAGGCGTCTTTACACGTGGAAATCCCCTCAAGATGGACATCAAGGCAGAATAGTGCGGAATCAAATAGACTACATCCTAATAAACCACCGATTTCGAAACAATATTAAAGATGTAAAAACTTACCCCGGCGCTGACATAAACTCAAATCACAATTTACTCTGCTCCAAAATACAAATTAAATTGAAGAAATTAACAAAGCCAACTAAGCCTTGTAAGATATATCTCGACCCCCTGAAAAACCCTCAAACGCGCGAACACATATCACAGCAAATAAATAGTAAAATACACAGAATATCAAATATACCAAACGAAAACAGAACCATTAACGAATGCTGGTATGCCATTCAAAACTCGATTTTAGAGAACGTACAAGAGTCTTTGAAAACACCTACCATGTTGGCAAAAAATGAGTGGATGACACAAGAAATTCTAGATCTGATGGAAGTTCGACGGCAACACAAAAATAGAAATATTATCGAATATCGTGAAATTAATAAACGCATAAAAAGAAAAATTAAGCAAGCCAAGAATCCTGGCTTGAGAATTTATGTAAAGAAATAGAAGACCTCCAAAAAAAGCATGACAGCTTCAACCTGCATAAGAAACTTAAATATACTGCCGGAATTAGAAAACAGAAAAATGCTCACATACTTAAAAGCGCGGACGGAAAAATTTGTGATCACGAACAACAGTGCAAAGAATGGGAGAGATACATCACTGACCTTTTTGACGATGCTTCTAGAGAAAATACTCCAAATACTGCCTGTGACAACCAGTTGGGCAGAGGTCCCAATACACTGAATTCGGAAGTCGAAAAGGCAATACAGCAAGCCAAAAACAATAAAGCACCTGGACCAGATCAAATCCCTGCCGAACTACTTAAACTTTTGGATGAGGAAAGCATTGCCTGCTTAACCACTTTCTTCAACAAAATTTACAACGAAGGAAAAATACCAGATGATTGGTTAGAGTCACTGTTTATAACATTACCGAAGAAAAGCAGGCCCACCAAATGCAGCGATTTTAGACTAATCAGTTTAATGAGTCACACACTGAAGATACTCTTACGAATTATACAAAACCGAGTATTCCTTCTATGCGAAAGTAAGATGGGTGATAAGCAATTTGGATTTAGAAATGGTCTAGGAACTAGAGAGGCACTATTCTGTATGCGCGTTCTATTACAAAAAAGTTGTGAATTCCGAAAGAATGTTTGTTTGTTTCATCGACTTCGAGAAGGCGTTCGACAGAGTCCAACACAATACACTTTTCGACTGCCTACGGGCAGCAGGACTTGACCACTATGATATAAGACTGCTGAAATACTTATATTACAATCCAAAGTAGCCTCTATCCAAATTGGAGACAGTCCCACTGAAAAAATACCCATCAAACGTGGATTACGGCAGGGTTGTGTTTTGTCACCCACTCTTTTTAATCTGTACTCTGAAGAAATCTTTAGGGAATCTTTGGATGACAGACAAGAGGGAGTAAGACTAGGTGGAGAAGTAATCAACAATATTAGATACGCTGACGATACAGCCATTCTTGCAGAAAGTTTACAAGATCTCCAAACATTACTAAATCTAGAAAGTCAAGCAAGTTATCGGAGAGGCCTAAAAATCAACATTTCAAAGACAAAGTGGATGGCAGTTGGAAAGATCCATATAGATCAAGGTCTGCTTTCTCTTAATGGAGATAGAAAGGGTAAATCATTTCAAATACCTTGGCAGCTGGTTAAATATAAATTGTGACTCTGATGAAGAGATAATATCCAGGATCGAAATATCACGTAAGGCTTTTATGACCTGGAAACCAGTTTTATGCAACAGAAACCTGTCAATGAATATTCGTAAGAAGGTCCTGAAATGTTATGTGTGGTCGATCCTATTGTATGGTTGTGAGACATGGACGTTAAAAACCACAATACTAAACAAGTTAGAAGCATTCGAATTGTGGTGCTATAGACGAATCCTAAAGATATCGTGGGTTTCGCACACTTCCAATGAAGATGTTCTTCAAATGATCAATTCAGAACGTCTGCTCATAAATACCATAAAGAGGAGAAAAACAGAATACTTCGGCCATATAATTAGAGGACCTAAATACCATTTACTTCGCCTTATAATACAAGGAAAAGTGGAAGGAAAGAGATGGATTGGTCGAAAGAAACTTTCATGGCTGCGTAATATTAGACAATGGTGTGGTTCCACAGTAGAAGAATTATTTCGCGCAGCAGCCGACAGAGAAAGGCTTCAGGAAATTGTAAACATGATGACGGCCAACGTCTGAATACGGACACGGCACCCAAAGAAGAAGAAGGAAAATCTGGATTGGAATATTGTCAGAAGCATGATTAAAGTTATCTTTATCACGAGAAATCATCGTACGAATTACTGTGTGTTACATTAACCAAAAGAGATCATGTCCTTCAAAGACAGTAGACTGTTATTTCTTCTTGGGGGGTTTATGCAGAGCTGGAGATTCCTGTAGATTCCGCCATCCTGGGCTTTCATATAGGGAGCAGTGTAACGAAATAGCATATCTTCGACGTACCCCTTATAATGTGATAATACTGTTGTAAATAAATATTTTATATACATTAGAACCGCTCGTTTTATTTAAAATCCTTACATTATCATTTTCAGGAGAAACATTCCATCTCTATAGTTTCGAACGCTCTTCCTGGAAAATAAGATACGTATTCACCAAAACTAAACGTCTGATCAGTCTTAAGGTCCCATTTGGTACCGTAGTGTTAGATGAGTTTGAATTAACGCAGTTTGCAGTTGACTGATTTTATTCCGTCTAAACATAACGAACAGATAGAGAAACTGTAACTTTCGGCATTCCGTCAACAAAACCGAATCTGGGAAATGGGAACTTTGCAGTAAATTTTACTTTACAACGAAGCCGAAAATTAGTACCAAATGATAATAATAACTGTACAAAGAATATATAGGGAATATATAATATTTAATAAACCTGCTCAAGTGGTTGTGGAATTAAAAACAAATATCCCAAAAAATAAAATGTATGTGCTTGTCTAAGTCAAATAGTCGCATACCTAGACTAATAACCAATGATACTGAAGTGGAAAGCTGATATAGAAAACAAATTCCAACAGAAAAAAACTAGATACTAACACCTACGAGATAAACCAACCACCGAATAAAGTCATTTCGCTCCTAAAAATGAATCAATTCATATTTTCACATAAATCAAAAACCATAATACTAAGAAGACATGGCTGCAACCGAAAAACTAGGTTTTACGAAAATCCGCTAAAGGAATTATTCCACAGGATGCTTCAAACTTAGGATAAAAACCACATTTGGATTAATCCGTTATTAGGTCAAGCACAAAATTTTATTAAAAATCTTCTATACTAAATTAAAATTTATAAATTTTTACATAGTGTGCTAAAAAAAATCATCAAAATAGGGCTAAAAATAAAAAAAAAAATTGAAATACTTTGAATTTACGATAATACAATTTTGAAAAACTGAAAATTTTCTCCGTTGCGTTTTTTTGCATCTAAGTGTATTAATGAAATGTTTGGTTTATCGGTGGACAGATCATTTGAAAACTCTAAATTATTCATGTGCACTTTTAAAATGTACATCTATCATCTTATATTTTTTTGAAACGTCGTAAAGAACCACTCCCATATCTCTTCCGACTGTGAGCAACGCGACCTTTTTCATTTTGTGTGCCTCAAACACTCTTCATCGTTTGTTGTGTTACAAACTCTATTGATGATAATGATGTATTTCAATCTTATTATTTCGATTTTCATCGTTTAAGTAGTACCAGATTGTCCGACATTTTTAATAACAATGACTTGTTAATGAAATAATACCTGTACTTACCAACTATAGGAACCATGAGCGTATAGGAATGGGATTCGGCAATGGTACGGATACCATTCATGTGATCGATGAAACAATTGGTGTCTGGAATCAGGTACTTCGGCCTTACTTCCACATGGACACTCACTACTGACTGGCTAAGAATTTTCTGTAACAAAAAAAATTTTTTAGTGATTATGATTAAATGGTCTATGATCTATATCAGCGATGCGAGTTATTTCCACATTTAATTCCACAGCAAGCGGTCAATGGAAGTGAAAACTATATTGATCTCGTGAGAATCGAAAAAAAAAACTGGTACATCAGGTGGCACCTGCTGTACCAGTTTTTCTAGACGAATCTTCGTCTATGACTTTGACTTTTAAAATGAGTGTGACTTTTAAAATCTAAATGTTTAAAATTGAAAAATTTTACATACAACGGACAGTTCTCGTCACGTAAAAGGACTTAGGAATCTCTTCCAAAGTATAAATATGAAAGTTCAACTTAAAATGTTTTACAAATACATAATTATTTTTGTCCCACTGCTTAGAGTAAATATATGATGACATGAATTGATGCAACGAATTGATCGAGTGTAGTGAATGGATGTGAAGAACTGCTATTTTGTGACGCTAACCGTGATGGCGCCATCTTGTGGCGCTAGTTTCGTGACGCTCGTCTCAGCATTTGACTATAGAAAAAAAAAAAGTAATACGATCCTACTATAGAAGACTCGCTTCAACATGACAAAAAAAAACTAAATAAAAACTTTCTAAAATTTGGCATATTTCACAAAGACTTATCAATTGATGAAGCGATGATAAAGTATTTTGGGAATCACTCAACTAAACAGTTCATAAGGGGAATGCCAGTAAGATTTGGGTACAAGGACTGGATGCTTTGTACTTGAACTGGTTATTGCTACAATTTTGACACATATTGTGGAGCATCAGTGGATAAATTAAAAGTCGGGGCGTTGCCTTTAGGATCACAAGTTGTTCTAAAAATGCTTGATATCGATGATGTGCCTACTGAACACGAAGTATTTTTGACAATTATTTTAGTACTAGTTACGAAGTTAGTTAATTTGATGGAAACTTTAAAAGGAAAGGGCTTTAGGGCAACAGGCACAGCAACAGAAAATCGTATAAAAAAATGTCCTTTGTTACCTTTCGCTGTAATGAAAAAGAAGAATCGTGGATATTTCGAATATCGCTTTAACAAAACAAGTCTACTACTTTTTGTAAACTGGAAGGACAACAATGTGGTCACAATGGCATCAAATTACGATAGTATTGAACCACTTTTAAAAGAGTATCGTTGGTGTGCTGCTGTCAAACGAAAAATTGATGTACCCTAACCAAAACTTTTCTCATCATACAACATGATACTATAACAAGATATGTTCACTTGCGTTCTAATTTTAATCGACTTTGTGCATGTCGTCATGGTGAGACAAAGCCAGGGGACTTGTTTGTATCATATTTTAACGATGCAACATATGGCAACGTTGTTCCATTACTGTAATGAACAACTTCAAAACTTAAACTGTTAACGGTAAGTATACCCCGATGCCATATCTCGCACTAATAAGTCATAACTAGTCACTTTCTGTAAAAACGTGGTTTGAAAATTATTAAGTAATTTGTAAAATTAATTAAAGAAATATATGAATCTACGATTTGATTGTATTACAAACAAAATAAATATTGCTAGAAAACATAAATTAAATATAAAAGGCCGGCAAAATGTAAAGAATTTGACCATAAAGGAAAAGCGGGTCAAACTTGAGACTTTATGAATATTATTTATTTTACAATCTTTGTGATTTTTCTTTTGTAGTATTGTAATTATCTTTAATATTTTGATTTAGAATTTGTATTTTAAAATACATTTTACATCTAAAAAAAAGTAATTTTACATCTTCGCTAACATTTACATATTTTGCAGCTTCTATTAAGTTTTTTAAACATTTTTTTGTTATTTTTAATGTGTCGCCATTATAACTACAAAAAAATATGTTCCAGTTCACTACATACATCCAAAGTAATTTTTTTTCAAGACCTATCAAAAGTAAAGTATTACTTCAAGTTCTATTAAAATGGGCATTAGTATATATTATTATCTATAGAAACATTTATTATTATCCATAGAAACATTTACTCTGCTGTTATAATATTGATATATTAATTCTCTGCTGTTATTAATATTAATTATTTTTATTTATATAACTATAATTGCATCAAATGAACAATTTTAATTTAATTTTAAAGTTTAACTTGCTGTCATTAATTTTATCAATTTGGTATTTTGACAACTTGTCTCAGGCTTACGTCACAAGAACATGCGCGTTGACTTATCTTGTTTTGTTATAGTATCATGATCATACAATGCTTCAATGGACGGTGTTGATCTCTTCGACCAATCGGTTAATAACTTCCGAGTCAGTATACAAGGTACAAAATGGTGGTGGCCCTTTTTACCCACATGCTCAACTTAGCTCTTGTTAAATCGTGGAGGTTACAAATATTTGCTGAAAATAAAGAAATGGATCTTTTGGCTTTTCAACGTCATTATTTAAGAAATTTTGCAAAATCTACTTATTCTAGAAAACGACTAATAGGATATGTATCAATTAGTCCGAAAATGGATGGAAGCGGTCATTTTCCAAAGAAAATAGACAAACAACTTCGATGTCGCTTATGCCATCAAAGAGTGCGTTGGATTTGTATAAAGTGTTAAATTTACTGTGTATTGAACGTGATTGTTTTGTACAATTTCATACTAGTTAGATTATAATATAGGATATACCCAAGTATGTACCTATATTGTAAGAAAATAAAATATTTTCATTTTTCACTTTTTAGCCCATTTTTCACCCTTGCTCTAGAAGATATTTTTAAGAAACTTGAATGGAACAATAAGGGTATCAACGTTTCCGGATCATACTTAAACCACTTGAGATTCGCAGATGACATAGTTTTAATAGCCGATAATATCCAAGAACTAAATGATATGTTACAACAATTAAATAAAGTTTTAGGAGCGGTATCATACGGAGCGGTATCATACGGAGCAAAATCATACCACAGAAAATGTTGAACATTATGTATATCTAGGTCATGTCATCAAACTAGGAAAACCAAACCAAGATGCTAAAATTAAAAGAAGAACACAACTGGCATGGGGCGCTTTCGGCAAACTAGCACATATCTTGAAAAACACCTCCATTCCTATAAACTTAAAGAAAAAGGTGTATCACACATGCATACTACCAGTTTGTACCTACGGCTTGGAGACAGTAGCCCTTACCAAAAAATCTGCTAAAAAGTTAGAAACAACGCAAAGAGCAATGGAACGAATCATGCTTGGAATATCACTCAGAGACAAGATTAAAAACAACGAGATAAGACGTAGAACGAAGATTAGGGATATTGTGGAAGAAATTGAAAAAATGAAATGGCGCTGGGCAGGTCACGTAGCCCGATATAATGATAACAGGTGGACACGGAGAATTCTAGAATGGAGACCAAGGATGACAACAAGAAGCATGGGAAGACCTCAAAAAAGATGGGTAGACGACATAAGAGCAGTGGCAGGCAAACAGTGGATTAGATTGGCGCAAGATAGAGAAAGATGGAAGCAATTGGGAGAGACCTACATTCAGGAGTGGATGGAAAATAGTTGACAAAGAAGAAAAGAAGAAGCCCATTTTTCACTGTTTGTTAAAAAATTTAATTTTTTATGTCAAATAACAATGAATTGTTACTATTATATAACATATATAATCCAGATCTAACAAGGACATTCAAAAAAATCTTGTATTATCGAAAAAAAAAAAAAGTAGTGGATCACATGGGTTAATTCTTAGTTAAAGTTAGTATCCATCAAAAATTTATTCAGTGATTCTAATCCCAAGTCCAAATTAATCGAGAATACATCACCTATACATCTCTTCTATACTGTGGATTTTTCACCACACCACAGTTAAATGATCAGAGTTGATAACAGCAATGTAAGAATAATTGCTGTGCTGTGTGTTTTCGAGGAAGAAGAAGCGTCCGGTTAATTTTGCGGTCAAGTGCAGTTTTAAAATATATTTTTTAAAAAGTTATGTCGTTATATCTTTATCACTTTCGAGTAATCACAAAAAAATTAACTGTCCGGTTTTTGGTCAACCAATGTACATAAAATTGCTTCAACTAAAAACAGGAATATACGAAAATATGAGAGACTTTTACGAAATACAAATATGGAGACAAATGTTTAGTTGGTTTTCATGTACGAAGGTGTTTTTCTGACGCTAAAACACTAATTACACCAGAAGGCATACGACGAACGACAGAGGAGGATTATGCACGAGACATTCCTACGATTACACTGATAATGTACGATCTATGCTGAGCAATAAATCTTTTGTAGCAATCCAACATATACTTGTATATACACCTACAGGGCGATACCGCGTCATGTGGTTGCTGAGAAACTTTTCTTTTTTCAATTTGTGAAGTTCCACAGTAAATACCTACTCGACGTTGACGCACATACTTCTGCCGTGTTTTCATTTTTCCTTTCGTTTATCGGGTTCAAGATCGTGCTTATATTTATCTTGTTTAAAGTAAAAGGTATGGTAATTCAACTGGAAAGCATACATGTCAAATTAGTAGCACATTTTTTTCAAATATTTCTGTTTACAAAACTTACAAACTTTACTTTAATGTACGAATCGGAAATGAAATAGTTTCAGTAGTAAAACAAAGATTTAATGAAAACCATGTCAACGCAAATGGAGAACTCATGGCTAATTTCTGTGCTTTTAACGAACTGAGAATCAATAATAGATTTTTCGACCATAAGCTCCAGTATAAATATACATTTGAAAACCCCAGGGGGCACAAATCTATGATTGACTTTAGAGTCACTAATAGAAAAATTCACCAAAAGCAGATTCTGGATATCCGAACTAGGGATTGCAATACAGCAGCATTTTAAGTCCAGCTGGATTTTTGCAAGATTAGCCTGAATCCAGCTGGATCCAGCGCGCATCCAGCAAAATGTAGAATCAAAATAAAAACACGATTTTAATGTTTTTTTGTTCATTTATTACTTAAGCTTTTTAATACAAACTAATAAAATAATAACTCAAAATAAAAATTATCTTAGGTG